AGGCCAAACCAGGGCATATGTGACACTCCACAGGCAGTGCACATCTACACAGAGCTAGGATCCTTCTCCACGTGCGGTGGCAACCCTGTGACTCTTTGACCCAGGTGAAGTTGACCTTCTTCTCCGAGACCACACGGCTCTCGTGCGCTCTTCTCTGCACGGGTCTCCACCTCAAGAAATTGGTTCATTGGGATCCGCAGTCCACTAATATTAACCCACTTAGGTCTAACTGTACATTGTGGTAAGCTTGCACGAGCCCAAATGGCACTGGCCGACTGAAGCCTTGGGCCTTGGCTTGAGGCCGTGGGTTCCCACTACTAACCCTGCGCCAGGTACACTGATGTGGTCTTCACGGGGCGGCAGAACTTGGAGCAACGCAAGGCGACTGCGGCGACCCGTCGGTCTTCACGTCGGTCTGTGGCGACTGTGGATCGTTTGGCCAGGAAGACTTGACGGGTGTCGGAGGTCCTCATGTTCCAAATCGATCAATGAGGAACCCACCTACTTAGATGGGATCCATATAAAACTACCTCTTGGGCTGGAATCCATGATGAAACCACATTGCCTCAGCATGGAGAAGTAAGTAGCAGATGTTTTCAGCGAGCTTTTTCTTTCTGGTACCAGTTCTGCTTTTGCTTGAGGTAGTGCAGCTCCTTCCTTTCCTTGCATTTCTCCAAAATGGCTTGGAAGACTGGACGGGTTTGAACCTTGTTTGGTTCCCCTCTTGAAATCTGTTGAGCTTCTCTTTGGCCTTTGGTTCCTTTCTGGTGGCCTCTCTTGGTTCCCTCTGGACCCCTGTTGCTTCACATACATGGGATGTAACTGCGACTACACTACACTACTCCAACCTATCAATTTCTTCTTCTTCCTCTTCTTCGAGAGAAGTGCAGTTTGCACCTGAAGCTGTGCAGTAGCGGAAAAGGGAAGGCACACATACACACCAAGCATCAGATAGTAAGCAAGACCTGGAGAAACATGGGTTTTAGCTTACCTTTGCTTTTGCCCGTTGCCGTGGCCAGGGCCGTGCCGGGCGTACGCGGCCCGGGCTCTGCTTCCGGTTGATTACTCGGAAGCGATTTGAGGAAGGCTTGGAGGACAGGGTGAAGATGAACGCAGATGCACCATGGAGTTCCCAGCCACTAGACTCTTTTGGTTCATGAACGTGCGGGCCTCGACTTGGGTCAACTGGTTCTCAGCGAAGTTGAGTACAGGGATCTGAAAGTTATCCGCGGTGCTTTTCCCAGATGATTTTAGCTAAATGCTTACCGCGAGGCAGCTGATTTAGGCAAAACAGAGTGATGTCCTCCTCTCATCAGCCGTGAGGATGAGGTTCCACCAGAGCTGACAAGAATGCCCTTGGTTGCGCTCTGAGCTGGAGGGAGGACGGAACATTTGGAGCAACCAAGAAGAACATGAGGCAATAACTTTGTGGTACCCTCAGTCATTCACAGAAGTGTTCATTCAAGCTGCGCACAGGCCACCTTCCAGAAAGACAATGGCCACCTACGCGGATATATGGCGTTTTATTCCTGTAGTTTCTCCATGTTTCTCCGGGTAGATGCCATAAGCTCCCCTTTTTGGAGTGATATCTCCAGCATGCCTTGAGGTGACGGTGACATCTATTCAGGTCACGGATCCATGTTTTTCTAAGGGCTCCAACACCCACCCCGTCCCTGACCGGTGTTCGTGTTTGGGTGCCTCGTCTCCATATCTCGCCCAGGTGGGTGCCGCGCTCTTGGTGAAATCGCTGGAGCTGGGGGACATCGCCGCCGTGCTCAGCCAGTGCCCAGACCCACCCAGTGAGAGGTCGGTCTGGCGCCCCAGGGTCCCTGCGAAACGGCGGGTTTTGGGCGGCTGGAGGTGGTTGGTTGGAGGTGTGGTACGAGTGGCCGGATTGCTTGGGAGATTCAGGGGGGGAACGCATGAGAAGTGGAACTTCAAGGCCAATGGTGTGGCTCCGTGTGGTGAGTGTGGTGATTTCTGATGATTGGAGAAGGTGGAGGGAAAGAATCGGGTTCATTCTTGAGCCACGCTCCGACGAACACATCACATGGAAGTGGAGCTCGCCCCCCTGTTTGTAGAGGAAAGTCGTCTTCCAAGGGACCATGCCATCCAGTTCCATGTGATGTGTTCGTCAGAGTGTATCAGGTTCATACTTGTCGGTGTCACACCTGAGCTGAGGAAACCGAATGCGCACTAGCGATGCTAGGGAGTGTGCCGAGCCGAAGAGGTTCGATGATATATGATAATTGCCCGGATTTCCATGGTCCACACTATGCTATTCCGTGTGCCCCGCATTTTTCACGGTACAACTCCAAAGCACATGACCTGGAGTCCCTAATTTAATCTGAACCACGTGTTTTGTTCCATGTTGTTCCCAAAAACGGCGCAGGAAAAGGTTCTTTACATCCGGTTGCTTGGGCTTCCGGGCCTTTGCTCGACCCTAATTATAGCCCAAACAAACCTATACCTGTACCTATGCTAGTGGTTGATTGTGAAGTCACAGGTGGCACACGCGATTGCTGAGCTCAAGCTGGTGAGGCAGCGACACCTAGTTTCAACTTAGGCCTTGGGCGTTGGATGTGCAGACCAGACGTTGAATCAGAAAATGAGTAGAGTGAGTGGAACACTTGAAGGGTCAACTATGAGGCCTTCGAAAACACGCAGGTGGTGATTTATTTTCCGGGGCAAGTGGCAGTGGAAAGCAGGTCCATGTCATAATTCAGAAGATTGTACTCCCTCTCTCTTGACTTAAAAGCTTTCCCCCCTTCTTCGGATGGACCAGCCGTAGGGCGTTGGACGAGCACGAGTCGCTCACAGCATTGGGCCGAATACTGGCCAGGTTGCCGTTGGACCCCCATGTGCCTCGGAGGAAGGGCGTAGTACTGGCGCCGTGTGCAAGTCCCCACACACCCCAGCTGGCCCAGCTTCCACAGCACGGCTGAAGGCCACTCTTTTGCCCCGCAGGTTCCTTCCTACCCGCCTTCCAACATGGCGGCTGACTTCAGATCGCCCGGTCTTGGGGATACAACACCAGATTTGCAAGGTCCATGCACAGTGGTATCATATCATATCCCCTGTTATCAGATGGAGACTCTTCCCCACCCAAGCCTGAAGACGCGGTGGAAAAAGGCGAACACCTGATTTTCCAGGCAAACTGAGGGAGCGGATGCGAAAAACACGCGGATGCGAAGCTGCTAAAACGCCAGTGAGGTGGGTGTGGCGCTGCTGATGGGACACTGGCTCTTCGGGTTGGGCGATGCTATGGCCACGATCTGTGCGGAGCTTAGGCACTAAGCTCTGGAGGCCGAGCTCTGGACGTGGTGGTCTAAGAGGCCCCAGAAGGATAGGTGGAGGGAGGGCTACAGAGACGAAGGATGGTCCACTAGTCTAAGATGCCCCGGATCATACGAATGGGGGTCAGGAGGGTTACTGTAAACCACTCCAATTCCATGAAGACTTCTTAAGCCCTTGCACATGGATTTGGGAGACACAGAGAGAGATCGTCCAGTTCCTGATTATTTTCCCAGAATTGCAGCAGCCGACCACCATCTTAGGTGCAGCTATGTCTTTCGATGAGCCCTTCCAGTTCGAGAAGACTGCGGGATATATGTCATATGCAGCCCAGGAGAAGTACAAGGGCTGCTTGGCAGTTCGCACAGACCTTGCCGCATTGGCATGCGGCCGGGGGCCGGGGGCGTCCTAGCAATGATGAACACGGATCGGGCCACGTTGTGCACATCCATTGGCCCTGCAGGCCCTGTTTTTCGCACCTTTTTTCGCATCTGAGTTTCTTGCCCGTATCCGACACCCCAAAAGCGTTACGACACGAAACTGAGGTACCCGCAAGCACTCGGAACCTCCGACTTGTGTTGGCCAGACTTTGTCTTGAATGTGTTGTGCGAAGTTTTCTTCTCCAATGGCAGGACCAATATACCTTGGGACTCGTGCATCAGGAGCCGTGGTTGTGGTAAGTGGTGTGGAGAACAAGCAATGCGAGCATTCTTTGCTTGGCCAAGTCTCGAGACACGTCTCTCAAAGCCTTGGGCTGCGAAACGGCTTGAGGCTTGTGGGTTGGGGCCCTTTAAGCCTTTCCTTGAAGGAGTACGCCAGACTCATGAGCACAGGTGGTGAAGCAGCCGCCAAGGGCATCCTGGCAGAACTATCGAAATTGATATGATCTATATAGTCCCTGAAGGGTCCTCTCTAAGGCCGTCGGGGTCGTGCCATTTGCAGGGCTTTGATGTCTTGGACCAAAAAGGGTTCCTGTTCTGACTGCTCACGGTGACTGTGAGGGAGTGATCCAAACAATTACCACTGGTTATCCTAATGTAGACTGTTAATGAAAAGACCCCCCATATGAAAAGGTCTGGCTATTCATCCAGATTCTATACAATCCCGGGGGTAGTTGCTAGTCGGCCAACTTCACTGTAGCCATTTTGGCCGCCTGTCAGCGTGCGATCATGAGGCTTCTGCCAGCGCGAGGGGCTGCACCCTGCCATCATGCGGCAGGCACGAGTGATTGGCATCCTGGTTCCACCTGGGTCCGGTGGTTCTCGCTGGGTCCGGGTGTCTATAGATCAGTGAGAAGTGAGTCTAAAAGTGAGAAGTCTGTAACACATGTGGAGACTAATATTTGGGTGACACATCGGTGTTACTCAATCGGTCAGCGACAAGAACCAGTGCAACCACTGTTGCATCGACCTTTTTACCAATTCATCTTCATTCGAACACCACGGTTTGTCAGAGAACAGCACGGGCCTTTTGGGGTGAACAGGGAAGCCCCGATACAACAACCAGGACCCTCCAACAGGCTGTTAGTTGAGGGTTGTTGGACCCTAACAGGTCTCAGTCGGAGGGTTCCTGGAAGGCTTTCCTGGGTTTTCCCCCATTTTGGCGCCCGCCTTCACCCGCTGGGTGAGCGTTCGGCCGGTGAGTTGCAGGCCTACCATGCCTCCGAGCAGTTGAGAGCGCTGCTGCAGAGCGACGCGCTGGGTGGCATGGCGGTGGGAAGCCTTGAGGATGAGGACACGAATGGGACGAATCGTTTCGGGGGTTCGATTTCGCGGGGCCCATGCGGGGCCTGCCCTTTGTGGGCGATTTGCTTGCCCTTTTTTCGCTGGGTGATGGATGGTGATAGGTGGCAAGGAGAGTGGGGCATGACTTCACCTGGTCCACCTGGTCCACTGGCCGCACCTGATCGGCACCAACGGACCGTGCCGAGCCAAGCGGGCCCCGGGGCACCCCGCTGCGAACACCCTTCGGCCAGGAGGGCTTCGCCGACACCGTGGCGGCGCAGAGCCGGAACTATTCGGCCATCAGAGATTGGGGGCAACAGGCGGTGGAAGCTGTGGTGAGTTCTGCGTGCTGAACTGTTTTTTCAGAGCCCAAGTGACCTGAAGATCAAGCTGCTGGCCTTGAAAGCAAGTCTTGCTGACATAGCTGCCCTTTTCAAGTGAAGGCTGCTGATGTAAACTGTAGCTGGACTTGGGTTGCATTTGTCGAGGGAGATGCATGCCAGGAGTGGCAGTGGGGAGCAGTTCTTTTGGGACTGGTCACGGCGCTGCCTCATTTGGCCGTCCATCAAGAAAAACGTCATGTTTGGGTGGCAGAGGACTGTTTTTAGATGCTTTCAGTAGCAGGAGATAGCCGAAGGATGCTTTGCACGGTTTTTACTGCGACTGGCTGCAGTTCTGGTCCGCTCGGTGCTTCATGCTGCTCTCGGGTTCCCAGGGGGGGGCAGGGCGGTGCAACAAATCCGGCAGGACACGGTGGGAACCGTTCACAGAGGATCCATCAATTGCTGCAACAACTCCTATGCAACTTGGAGAACTCAAACCTGGAACGTGAAACATTGTGAAACCATGTTTTCAGAGGTGACAAAAACCGATGAACACTTGTGTGCACTAATGGGTCTCGTGGGGCTGAACATTGAGGTCTTTCCCTCGCCCATCTTCGCATTCCTGGACCAAGTGAAAGAAGGCGGCGGTGGCGGCGGTTACACTCCAACCCGTTGCCGGTGTCTTGGATCCATCAAATGCGAGGTGTCAATGCTTGCCAGTTTGCTTTCCAAGATGCACAGGAAAACCATGTTGGATTAGGTCACGCGCTTGGTTGAACACTTTTACCTGCCTTATCTATCCTACCATGCACCCAACACCGTTTGGTTGAATATGTTGAATGGTACTGTTTTTGGTAGAGAAACGACTTGAAACCAGGTGTTTCGGTTCCTTTTGGTTTCTTTCTGAAACATGACAGCAGGCGACTTCCTGTGATGCTAAAAAGATTCAGAAAGGTATCGACTGATTTCCGACAAAAGGTTGGTCGGTCAAGACTGCGGGAATCTGCCTCCAAAAAAAAAACATGGATTTTAAAATGAAGTCTCTTAAAACTCAGGCAACTGACGAACATGGCACCGCTTTTGGCTCTGCTCAAGCCATTTGCCAATGGTGAGATTCGAATGGATGACCAGGACCGAAATGGTGGAAGTCTATCTTTCAGCTTGCAAGTGAGTGCTGACTTCCCCTCCCAAAAACCTAGGCCTAGACATGGATTGAGTGTAGAGGTTCATTCTGATTGTCCCTCTGCCCCCCAAGAAGAAACACGTGTCACCCCGTGTTCTGCCATGGTCTCCGAAGATGTGTAACGGGAACTGCGGTCTCCACAGGGTGGTCCACACCTGGCGATCCCCTCGTGTGGAGGAAGGAAGCTGCGTGGTGATTGGCAACTGGATCCCCATTGGACCGGTGCCTCCCGAGTCTGGGCAGCACGCCCCGGCGCGAGGAAGGTGACCGGTGTTTTCTAGCCTGCATTGGGAACGGGATCTGCTGTAGCCTACCTAGTCGGCGTGGTTCCAGTGAGAGATCAAACTCTGGACAGACTGGGCCCGGGCTCTGCTGCTCTGTGCCCCGATCGGCTGCTGATGTTCGCAAGATTCGCGCTCATTCTTGGATCCATGGTTCTGCTACATGCGACCCAGAGGTGATAAAGGGTGATATGAGGAGTGGACCCGGCTCTGACATTCAATGATCAGCTCTGAGTGACCAGATGGAACCCGCCCCCCGCCTCCCGTCGACCGGGTCTGAGGGTGATTCATTCGACCGGTCCAGTCGAGGCATCGTACCTGTTAGGAACTGCTTCCGGCCATCCCAGAGCGATGAGAAGACTCTCAGTTGTAGGCGGATGTTTTTGAAAAGAACCCAACTGAGATGGCCCTTTCAGACTTGACGAGCTACCCATCAAAGGATTGCATGTAGTATGATGTAGTATGTAGTCTGACAGGGTGACTGGACTCTTTGCTTGAAGTACCCAGGACACTCTCCAGCCAACCAGGGTCCCCACCTGCCATGCGGCGAAGCGCTTCGCCTTGGCCCCAGGACACGGTGCAGTTGATCCTGATGCTGCGGAAGCGACTCGAGGTGGGGAGGAAAAAGCACGAGAGTGGATGAGATCGGATGGTGATTTTCATCATACTTTCTCTTGGATTACATGGTGAATGAGTGACCCTGTGTGACTCAAAGACTTCCCCCTGTGTGACTGCGCCTTTACATCGTCGGAGTGGCGGCATGTTCACTTCTTTGCGTGCCCCCAACAGTTCTCAACATGGATAGAATCGGATAGAACAAATGAATGGCTTTCAATTCCTTTCAATACCCTATACTTCTATGTGTTCGGGACCCCAAAATGGATCCTGGGTGGACACACAAAGGCGACAAGATTTGGGTGGGACTATGGTCAGCCAGCCGCACCCCTAGCCCTAGCTCAAGACTTCTCAAGATAGATATGGGTTTTGGGTCTCATGACTTATCAGAGAGATCATTTTGTTCGTCTTGATTGGATTTCCTTCTTTGGCACTATGGTTCTCATCCATTTCCCACCACCACATGACCAGGTGTTCGACCAGATCTCCATTTTGTCCGAGGGTGTCTCAAACTGGAGAGTGTCCGAGGCAAGTGAGGTCCAAAAGTTAGGTACCGTTCATCGCAAGACCATCATGGGGTGAACCCCATGCTTCACCATACCCCGTGGAACATTCTGGGACACAGAGGACATTCTGTACGTTTCTGGCCCCACCGGAATGAGGAGAGTTTGCGACCCGGCCAGGATGTGATGTGCGAGTTTGCCGAGCAGTGCCGAAGCAAACACTTTTCCAGCCTTTTTTTTGTGGGGGGACCGGTAGGCGATTTTTGTTTGGACCCAAAAGTAGGTGGACGAAGCCAATTTGTTCATTATGGATCATTATGGTTTATTGGACGAAGCCAATTTATTTTAATTGTGGTGGACAGAATCCTATAGAATAGGGGGGGTTTTGTCCTTGCTGAAGATTCTGCAAGTCACGGGTCTATCGGTTTGTGGATGTTTGTGGTGCACATCTCCCAACTGCGGACGCCCAACCAGTGGAGGGGGAGCGCCAGGATTATAGCAGGCGTCCACAAGACAGCTGTGTGAAGGATGACCAATGGATGTGCTTACAACATGGTAACGTAGACTCTTGATTCATAACACCCCCCCGTAATTTGGAGCCTTTTCATGCGCGGGCCGGGGGTTTGTATTAATCAAGAGTCTACAGCTCAAGCACAGCGTGCTGTCCCAATCCCCTAAGTGACTTCCGTATGTACCCAGCCCCAGCCAGCGGCTTTGAGACCAGGGCAGCTCATTGGAACTGCATCCGTGCAGTCCCTGTCAATCGGGTTGATGTTCTGTGAATCAGCCACCGATTGGTCGCGACCGATGGTCCCGATGTTGGGGGGGATTCCAAGGCCTGTAGGACGATCTGTTTGCCAGGCAGGGCCTTTGCGGACACCGGAGAATCATCACTCCGAATAGCACTTCCAGACAGAGAGAACACCGATGAGACTTCCATAAACAGTCCAAAACTAACAATAGGACCCTTTGAACATGATGATGCACAACCCTTGGCCCCTCGAATCCTACATGCTAGATAGGACCTGTGAAGGTGTGAGCCTTCTGAGCACCTCTTGAAGGGTCCTGCGATGCCCTTCGCAAGTGTTGGCGAACGAACTTGTGCCCCGCCACGAGTTCGGGGTCCAAGCAGGGGCAAGTGAAACATCAAGGCACTTACACCATTGGTTTGTAGAGGAACATCCTCTTCCAGTGGTCCATTTTCAGGTTCAACGTTGAACAAAACCCAGCTCTCTTCTTTTTGGAGCCCAGCCCTTCTCGCCCTTCCCTCGCCTCCACAAAAAGCGCCCGGAGGACACGCACCGCCCCCTCCCGAGGCTCGCCGAAACCAGAGGCTTTGCGCCGAAGGATCCTGAACTGCAGGGCTTGCTACAGGACGAAGGGATCGACATGGAAGGATGGGAGCATCTCAGCCGATGCAAAAAGAACAGCCGTGCAGGTGAACTTGATCAATCTTATCTAACACCCCTTAGGACTGCACGGATTGAAGATTGTGTGGGTATCGATTATATATAATTTTCTTATGTTTTCTTTATCTCTTCTGATTGGAGCCAGTGAGCCAATCTTCTGCAAACCTGGAGAGAAGTTGGATCTTCCAGGACCTCCTGCAAGGCCAGTCCCTCCGTTACCGCGAGCCGCTGCGCCCGCAGCGTCCGCAGCGCCCCGCGGAGCCGGCGGGAGTTCCGCCAGTGGTCCCGGCGCATGTGCCGGGGTCAAGGGTCGAGCAGGGGGCCTCAGGTACCTGGAGCACGTGGTACGGTGGATCAGATTCAGGAGTCAGATGAATGGAAGCTGCAAAACCGTTCAGTCGTTGTTTTAGATCGTAAGCAAATACAAGATCTTTTGTGTTGTAAGTAAGCAGTCTTTTGGGAAGTGCCGTGACCGTTGTTGCTGTTGGTCGTGGTTGTGTGCAGTTGTGGCTGGTCGTGGGTGTTGTGGTTGGCTGGTTGAGTTGGTTGGCGTGGTTGTGCTTGTGGTTGTGGCTGTGGCTGTGGCTGTGGGCTGTGGCTGTGGCTGTGGCTGTGGTGGTGGTGGTGGTGGTGGTGGTCATGATCATCGTCGCCGTAGTCGTAGTCGTCGTTTCAAGAGGCAATTCTCCGGCTGGGCATGAAATTTCCGTGGTGGAGGGCTGTGAACTTGACCAAAAGAAAGACTCGAACACTTGCATTTCTCAGATTTTATCCCCTCCACCTTTCACTCGACAGGTAGTCAACCTTGTGTCCTTTCAGACCTGAAAGACGCAAATTTGCAAAGTGTTGATCGAAGTTACAGCGGCATTATAGCGAGCAACAGATCCTTTAGGCCAGATCTAATCAAGGTTGGACGCAAAGAGAATCTTAGTGCGGGCTTGGATCATTGCCGAATTGCCGAATTGTTTCTTTTTCTTTGACTTTCAGAGGTCTTCATGTCTATGCTGACAATCCAGGACCACCTGTGAGCTGCAACAATTCTAATTAAATTTAGATTAATTGGAATTCTAATTCTATTGAATTCTTGTTTCTAATAGCTTCTTGTTCCTAGTAGTAGCGATGCCCTTCGCTCCTAGTAGCGTCCAATCTTGGTTTCGATTCCCGATTCCTGGCCCCGACCTTTCTGGAATCTCGGTCTCGAAACACGAGACGTTTTCAGATCATCCCCAGCAGTGCGCCCAGCAGCGCAGATGTGTGAGGCTTATGCGCGGTGCCAATGGCTGCGGCGAGTTCAGCGTGACCATCCCCGCTGTGACTTCCGTAGCAGCTCCGGCTCCGCAGTGCTTTGGCGAACAGTTGTCGAGGGACCCCTTAAATTAAAGACGAGGTTGATGATGTGGTCTCAAAGAAGAGGGGAGTCACACAGCAGCAAATGGAGAATGATTATACAGAACTCTCTTTGGTTTAACGGTACTTTTTGGGTTTGTGCCATCCACCCTGAAGCTACATCATCTAGCAGCTAGCATCCATTTATATAACTCATCGAGAGTATGCACAGTGAACAAGGCATTTATTTGTTCAGGGATTTAGTATTACTTTTCTTTTTTAATCTTCCCAAAACGAACTTTTTGTATGGATCAAGCTCTGATCTGCAGAGTGTGCGAACTGAGAGGTGATGCTTTTCCGTACACCAAACAAGAACAGATTCACTGCGCACTACACAAGGTTTAGTCAGAGTCAAACCTGCTCAAGACCTAGGATTTGCAAAC